GGTCCTCTCCACTTCCATAAGCATCCTTATTTACCATAAATCTGTCTGTTTCTAAGTCACTCTTAATACCAGCAGAGAACAGACTGATGGGACTAGAAAGCTATTACTTTGGCCTTTACTATCTGCATCAAGTCATGGAGTGTGCCTTGCTACCTATATGAGAATAGGCTTGACTTAAGTTACCTGTAGCAAACCCATATTCTACCACTGAAGGACAAAATTTTCTGTAACAGCAATAGACTCTAAATCTCAGGTGGTCTAGTGTCTAAGGGGGAGATTTTTAAAGGCACAAAGGACTGTTAGGTGCCTTACTACCATTTGTGCCTTTGAAAATCTCACTCCAAAAGCTTTGTTAAACAGGCACATTTGTTGTGAAGTTCATGGTATTTAAAATTAAATTTTAGAGCAGGGCACTCTCCTTTTCCTCCTCAATCAATACCTGTGTGACGTGCTCTGGCAGATTGTCCTAACAGACCATTTTCCCTCCCATGAGCCCCATGTGGAGTTAAAGCACTGAAATCATGTGAATGCTTGCTACTGTTGCTTAGTAAATCTGGCATCCATATTTTCAATGGCAGCTTTATGCATACATAAGCTTTACCTCTAAAGATACAGAAATAGTTAACCCTTGAAATTTGCCATTCTTAAGTGTATTTCAGATATAAGGGCCAAGTTGGTCTTGCACAATTGAATTCCAGTATAGCACTTTCTAGCTTTTGCAAAACCTCAAACAGATCTTCTCTTTAAAAAGTGGGTGGGAGATTTTAGTCATAATGGCTATTAAGCCCATCTTAAAAACAACAAACAGTGTGCCCACAATTTGCTCGTCTTGATCTCCATAAGAATTCCTATCATTCAGGCTACATCAGGTTCTGAGTCAATTTCTACAAATCTCTGCATGGGCAACAGCCAAATAATAATTTTGATTATTGGCTTCGTTCCTGATAAACAAGCCCAGAGTATAGCAAGAATATCTAGCTCTTAGCTACCTCAGAGGCATCAGCAAGGGCTTGAAGTTGCCAAAAAATTGAAAACATCTTTCAAAATAAACTCAAGTCTTTTTAAGAAAGAGAATCTATTTTGAGATGCAAATAAGCAAATTCAAGGCTGTGGTTGGTGTAGTGCACCAATGCCACCATGAGAAGTGTCTTGTCTGTCTTTGGCTGCATACTACTAAAACAGCCCATATTTACTGCTGTACCATCTTAAATCAGGCAAACAGGCCAGTTTTGATTTGAGCTTTTCTGCAGTAATCCCAAATCAGTTTTTATTCCTTATGCACTACCATCAGCGGTTTCAAATTCCAAGTATATTATGTCAGTAAAGAGAGCATAAGGTTTCCCTTCATACACAAATTGGATGTATACTACAGACTGTCACTCAGTTACTGACCTGTCAGTGGATCCACCAGCAAGCCCAATAATAAATTTAACTTTCTACATGGATTTCTAAAGACACTTCACTGAAAGAATTTACATTTGCCTCTTTCGAGTCTTTCATTCAGAGGGTTATAGTTAGATACAAAATTCTGGGCACATTTGGAGTGCAAGCTGCAGAGTATTGCCAAAATCTTTGACTACATTCATATTTAGAAGCTATGTAAGCATGGTTAAACAAGGCAGCAAACGTTTGGCTCTCTTCTCCTCATGTTGCATTTTACAGAGCAATCCTAGTAATAAGAGCTTCTTGTGAGCAAATTGGAACCTTTTCTGCATCTAGGCATTTAACATAACAGGGGTGTCGATAACTGTTTATTTGTGGAGACTAGAGTTAAATAATAAAACAACAGCTGTTGACTATCACTTGAATGAGTAGTTTTGTACCATGATTAAATTTGTCCACTTTTAATTAAGTGATCTGAATGATCACACTAGCAGACTATCTAACCACAGTGAAATGTAGTAAACTAAGGCAGACTCTCACCAAATACAGGATCAGTGACCGTGAACTAGAGGTGGATATTGGAAGGCACAAAGTAGTCTAATCCCAAAGAAGAGCAACTGTGCACCCAAATGTGATAGAGGAGAGTGAGATACAAAACACTTTTTATATCCATATCTCAAATACAAAGTAGTACAAGAAAAAGATTTTACACTCTGGCTACACTTGGCTAGCTTGTCATGACAAAAAAAATCTCACTGAATTGAATCATACATTTGTCCTAATTCCATTTAGCTCCTCCTTTTTACTTTTCCCAAATCCAACAACTCAGTGCTGATATTAACGCCTTCCCTGAGACTGAGACTTCCTGCTTGCTGAACAGGGAAATAAGACACTTGTCCAAATAGCACTTCTGGGCCATTAGGTTTTCCACAGCATGCCTTACTTCATAGTAACTTCTAAAAGGAGACCAAATTATTTAGTAAACAGGTAGAAGAGGACCCATTTAATAAACAAAGACTATTACCCAAGAATGCCATCTACCAATTCAGGTAATTTTGCATAGTTCAGATTAAATAAAAAAAAAAAACACAAGCAGGGGAAATAAAACCCTTGAAGCATTGGAGTGCTTTTCTCGTAGTAAACAATTTGTGGTATAATATTAAAGAAAATTTAAAGCACGAAGAACATTTGTGGGGTCAGAGAGATTAATAAGTAAAATAAAAGGTAGCTTCCTCTGAGGAAGTCATTTCATGAATTCTTTATAAAAATTCTTGTAGCTATCAGGTTAAAGATTACAGATTGAATCACCTTCCATTAAAGTCAATAGTTAAATTCCTATAAACTTCAGTGGAAATAGGATTAGAGCCTGCATTTTTTTTTTAAAATCAATCACTTAAACTTGGAAAGATGCCTTTTTATTTGAGCAGTTACACAGACAATTACATTGTATAGACATATCCATCTAATGATCTTGGTGCACATACATTTGTCAAGAGCTCCAGAGATGTGTAAACTCTGGGGACAAGGACTGTCATTATTTATTTGTACAGCACTATAGGGTCCAACCGGATTGCACCCATTTGGCACTATCACGCTACAAAATGTTAAATAGTATCTGGCTCTAGGGTATAGGCAAAGAGCCTGATTAAATGTCCTCCGATTCCCATTGGCTTCAATGGACTTTGGACAAAGCCCAAAATAGGCACACAGGTCATTCAAAATGTTCGGTAACTGTGGATTAATAGGTAATGATGATATTCACCTAAGGCAGCAGAATCCCTACTCGTGGATCTCTCTTCCTTTTCCTTCATGCTCACTAGCTTTACATGGTATCCATATGTATGTATCCATTTGTTCTTGCCCACATTAGGTGGCATTTATATAGTCTCAACATGATCTCTACACTCAAGTTAAGTACAACTTAAATTATTTTGTATTGCAGTTAAACCTAAACTGCCACTGGAAGTACAGCATAGTCAAGATGTAGAATCTCAGATGAGCATCCTAAACAGAGAATTTCAATAAATAAATTTTTTCTGGTCTTTTTAATGGCAACCATACACTGTACAATAATACAATTTTTAAGTTCAGTGTAGTGTAGTTGAATAAGCTGGCACCATTGATTTTTTTACTTTTACTTTTCCAAAAAGTAGTATTTCTGGCACTTTAGAAGCTGCCCAAGCAGTTGTGCTGCCAGGTTTGGAGTTGTTCTAGGCCTATAATTGCCCGACCATATGGCATTATACTAGATGCCATATTCCTTGGATGGAATTTGATCCTGGGGGTTTATGGAGGCAGTCTTTTCATCCACCAGTAAATATGACTCTGTAAATCTCTCTATCCAGGTGCCTTTAATCATAAGGAATCTTCTGTTGCTCATGTTTTAAAAATTACCACCACCTCACTATTTGAAGCGTCAGTACAGTCTCCCGAAGTTAAACTTCATTTCCCCATCTCTCCCCTCATGTTCTTCCCCAACCTTAAAGTGCTGTATTTGCTTTGGGCTATAGCTACTCCTTTGGCAGGCTCTCCCCATTCCTGGGCAGTCTGGAAAATGTTCATGCTGCTCTTACGCTGTCAGTTCAGCTCTCTACTAGATACAGGCTTTGGAGAAGTTGTGGATCTCAAAACCACAATTAAACTTAGAAAGATGGAGATTGAGGAAAGGTGGGAAGAAGATGGGGACAGAAGAGGTGGCAAAACAGTTCTTTGGGTACTTGCGAGACAATACCTGAGGCCTGAAAGCAAGAGCGAGGAGCCTTTAAGTAATCTCAAGTCAAGAGGAGAATATAATAGTAGGAGCTCTAAGAGATGTGGAAAAAAAAAGGGTGAGGTGCATGGCCTAAATTAAGGGTGGTGTTTGCTGGGAATGGCAAAGGCAATAGTTAAATGGTTTTTGTCCAACGGAAATCCAGTTATTCAGTTTATTTATACATGTGCAGTTACATGTAGGCTTCTAAAGAAATGAACTCTCCAGGGATTTAGCTTCCTTTGTATTATATCCATCTACTATAATAAAATCTTACTTTAATACATACAGTCACTTTATGATTGTTAGATCATCTTTGTTATCAAGATAACTGGAAGTGTGCACGTAACTACATATGAACAGAATGTAAGAACATAGGTTAAACTGGATTATAACAGTGTTCTGTCTAGTCCAGTATCCTGCCTCTAAAAGGAAGATGCAACAAATCACATTTGGAATGATCTGCCTAGTTGCCATTTTTCTTAACCCCTGTGATTTAGTACTTCTGTCCTGAAGCATGTGATATTTTATCTGTGATATATTTATCCTGATGTAATTGTGGGCATCCTCAACATCCATATAAAAGTGTAAATTTATTTGAATCCTTCTGAGCTCTTTGCCTCAGTGATATCTTGCATACATATGCAGCCTTAAAATGTAACCCTTAAAATTTAGCCATCACAAAATTCTGACTACATTCTTCCATAGCACAGAACTATATTTTATGAATGATATATAACATGCACAGTTTCTAGCTACTGTACAAAACACAAGCCTTTCTGAAAGGAGCACAAAAATCCCAGTCCATGGGGCAGTTATTTTATTAACCACCCCACCCCATCATTTTAAAGAAAGAATCCCACAAAGGTAAAACTGCATTCTCTTCCTTTATTATGAAGTACTAGTACCTTGTGTACAACATGCAACTTATTGACCTTATTGCCTATGTCAATTTCAGCCTACAAAAATCAGTTTACATCAATTTATACAAACTGCAAGGCTGTTCAACTAAAATGTAGAAATACTTACAATCCTAGTGAAATACAAATATTGTTCATATGATTATTCTACAAGCAAAACCCGTAACATTTAATCATTCACACATTCATCTTATTACAATGTATGACTTTTGTAATCAATCCACAGTATTACCATTACCTTCCTAAATTCTTGAACACTACAATTGTTGCCATACAAACAAGATACATTATAGTTTGCAATTAATAAGGTTTCCATGATCTTCTCAGGCAATGCTGCAATATTAATTTTACTGCAAACAAAACTGTAGAGTTAATGGCAGTAAATTTAGTTTTTAACTTCACTCTACATAAGGCATTTCATACTGTATTTACCAAGTTTGTGTTTAGACAGAGGCCTATGTAAGGCCTTTAAGGACTCAACTGCAGTTGTCTAAATTGCAATTTTTTTTTAAACAATCTGTAAAATCAGTTTTGTATTTCGTTAGTTTAAATGTTAATTGTAAATAGGTATTTGGATAAAGATCTGTAAACATTAATGGTATATGTATAAATATATTTGTTAGGGTATTTGAATATACATACACTACACGAGATATACTTATGCCAGAGTTTATTAGTAGCCAAAATCTTTTTTTTTTCCCTCCAGTGTGCTGATTGCTTTCAGTTGAAATTCAGGATTAATTAAAATAGTAATTAACTTGAAAATAAATTCATTACATTCAGAAGTTGCCTTTATGCCTATCACATTATATAAAATACTAAACTTTCAAACTTCAAAAAAACAATCCTCATGCAACTTGACTCAGTCAGGAGCAATTCCTCAGAGCTCTAGTATTTCATATGCTCAAAAAAGTGTGTTACAAAACCAGTACAATATTTGACAGCCAAAGCATATACCAGGAGAATATACTACAAAGGATTTTGTTTGTGTCCATGTTTTAGATTTTACTTTCCAGGCATATAGCCCTAATGTATATTGAATTATAATATGGTTCAAATTGAGACAGTAAGGACTGAATTATATTGAGTTCAACACATTTCGTTCACAGGCATTTCCTTTATGCAGAGAAAAAATAAACTATTTTAAAGTAGACATTTACTATTATACTCCTGGGTGCCAGGCATCACATTATGACACTGACCTCAGATCAGCCAGGCATGTGAATAATTTTGTTTCCTAAAATCAGTTGCTCTATAGCTACCTTCAGTTCATCACCGGCTGCAGCATGCCTTCCCTTTTGCTATTAATTTTTAAAAAAGCAAGAATTTCAGGGTAAAATGTAAAGAGTAAGGAGGTGGCTAGTGGAGGTTTCTGATTACTACACTTTTTTTTTTTTTTTTTTAATAAAAAACCCAAACACATCCTGAGTAATCTGCGTGCTGATAGAAAAGGAGTACTTGTGGCACCTTAGAGACTAACAAATTTATTTGAGCATAAGCTTTCCGTGAGCTACAGCTCACTTCATCGGATGCATTCAGTGGAATGAATGTGCTGATGTTATATACAATGTTGTTGTAACCATCTCAGTCCCAGGATATGAGAGAGACAAGGTGGGTGAGGTATTATCTTTATTTCAAGCTCTGGTGTAAGCTTGAAAGCTTGTTTCTCTCATCAACAGAAGTTGGTCCAATAAAAGATATTACCTCACCCACCTCGTCTCTGCTGGCATTAGGTCATACACATGTCACTACATAAAAGTATGGTTTGGTGCTTGTCGCTAGAGTGCTGCACAGCGCCGAGTGGCACACCACTTCTCTGTACAGAGAAACTTGAAATTGAATCAGGCAGTGACTGATTTTGCTTATTGTTGGATGAATGCTAAAGTTCATGTAGATCCACCATTTCCAGTTTATTGACATCAGGATCTCACTAGTGAAGCAGTGTTTTCTCCATGTATTAATTATTTGATATAATACATAGGTTGTATTACAATGGGTTAGGAACAAGGAATGCTTCTTCATCCTTTGTTGTCAGTTGATGAAGCTATAGAACACAGGCCTTTTTAGGTCCAGTGTTCTGTGAAAGGCTCTTAATACCTTTGCTAAAGCTGGATCTTTGTAAAAGTTTCAGAATCTTGACAATTCCCCTTCAAAAGTTCGTTTCAGATATATTGTTTTTCAGTGATAAACATGGCCACACTTGGAGTCATCTTGGAGTGACCCTTCTTTTCTTGAAGATGAAGCAGGAAAAACCTTATAGATTTTTCGATTAATCATCTTTCATTGACAACCTACAAACTGATCAATAGCCATGACAAAAACCCCTTCCATATGTCTGTCAGTGACTGATAATTCATCATACATATAGTGTATATCAAGACAGTGTGGTTACATTCTAAAAAGACCCCACACAGTTCAGGTATAATTTTGTGTTTCACATATCCTCAAACCTCACAGATGAGCCAAAGAGGGATATATCCCTTCCCTGATATTTGCCATTCTATAAACATCCTACTTAGATCACATATAGGACTCCTGGATTCTTATGCCCTGGACCCCTTCACTCCTTTTTACAATAGTGTTGCACTTATGTTTGTTACTTGTGTAAGAGGTTTTGTTTGGTTGGTTTTGCTGATTACAGTAGCTTTTTAATACTAGAAAACCCTCTTTAAATAAAAATACTTCTAGATTTATTTTGAAAATAAATTAAACATTGTCACTGTAAACCATCAGTGGAGAACCCCTGAAAAATGTGGACATTTTCTGTACCTTGCCAGCCACCTCTCCCAAACAGCCAACATTCACACAGAAATTGAATACAGGATCTGCTCTGCCAGCACATCTTTTGGAAGACTACTCAAACGAGTCTTTACTGATAGGGATCTACAAACGGGTATTAAGATCTTGGTTTACAAGGCAGTTGTCATCCTCACCATTCTCTATGGGTGTGAGACCTGGGTAATCTACAGAAGACAGCTCAAGCAGCTGGAGTGGTCCCAGCATCGCTGCCTCGGGAGGATTCTCAGGATCAGCTGGGAAGACTGTATGCCTGACACTCACCTCCCGAAGCAAGTACTCTTCTCTCAGTTAAATCAGGGAAGAAGGGCTCGCAGAGGGCAGTGGAAGCGTTTCAAAGGCATACTGAAAGTACATCTTAAAAAGGGAGGCATCATCCCAACAAACTGGGAGGACTTGGCACAGAACAGAACACAGTGGCACCATACCATACACCAAGCCACAGCTCACTTTGAGAACAGATGTGCTCATGAGACACAGAAGCGACAGGAGGAGGAAAGAAAGGGAACACTCCAGCCAACAACTATGCCTCCTCCAAGATTACACCTGTCACTTCTGTGGGTGTCATAAATATAAAGGGAAGGGTAAACCCCTTTGAATTCCCTCCTGGCCAGGGGGAAAGCTCCTCTCACCTGTAAAGGGTTAAGAAGCTAAAGGTAACCTCGCTGGCACCTGACCAAAATGACAAATGAGGAGACAAGATACCTTCAAAAGCTGGGAGGAGGGAGAGAAACAAAGGGTCTGTGTGTCTGTCTATATTCTGTCTTGGCCAGGGATAGACCAGGAATGGAGTCTTAGAACTTTTAGTAAGTAATCTAGCTAGGTACGTGTTAGATTATGATTTCTTTAAATGGCTGAGAAAAGAACTGTGCTGAATAGAATAACTATTTCTGTCTGTATCTTTTTTGTAACTTAAGGTTTTGCCTAGAGGGGTTCTCTATGTTTTGAATCTAATTACCCTGTAAGGTATCTACCATCCTGATTTTACAGGGGGGATTTCTTTATTTCTATTTACTTCTATTTTTATTAAAAGTCTTCTTGTAAGAAAACTGAATGCTTTTTCATTGTTCTCAGATCCAAGGGTTTGGGTCTGTGGTCACCTATGCAAATTGGTGAGGCTTTTTATCCAACATTTCCCAGGAAAGGGGGGGTGCAAGTGTTGGGAGGATTGTTCATTGTTCTTAAGATCCCAGGGTCTGGGTCTGTAGTCACCTAGGCAAATTGGTGAGGCTTTTTTTTTAACCAAACCTTGTCCAGGAAGTGGGGTGCAAGGTTTTGGGAAGTATTTTGGGGGGAAAGACGCGTCCAAACAGCTCTTCCCCAGTAACCAGTATTAGTTTGGTGGTGGTAGAGGCCAACCCAAGGACAAAGGGTGGAATATTTTGTACCTTGGGGAAGTTTTGACCTAAGCTGGTAAAGATAAGCTTAGGAGGTTTTTTCATGCAGGTCCCCACATCTGTACCCTAGAGTTCAGAGTGGGGGAGGAACCTTGACAGTGGGAAAATCTGCAGGGCAAGATTTGGGCTCCTCAGCCACTTAAAAACTCACCAATGAGCCCCCAGGTAGACATCATCCTCGCATTGAGGGATAGCCAAAGACGACGACTGTAAATTTAGAGCAATTTTTAGTAGATTTAAAAAAAAAAATCTTACCAAAATTAGAGATTGTTAAGAACTAAGGTCAGCTTGTCTCATCTCTGTCAATGGGATATTTTTTGCTATAAAGAGATGGTACATTATAGTTTAAAAATTAGGCTGAGAACTTACTGAACAACTTTGTATTGGCATATATTTGTAAAGACAATATGATCCACATGCAAAACTTAAAATTAGACTAGGAAAGAAAAACTATTATGGAATTCTTACCACTTTGAAGTAGGATACCGATATCCATTCGGAAGCTCTCTGACATAAGGCTATAAAACTCTGGCTCCTAACTCAGATTGAAAATCTATTAGAACACACATCAGGCAGAAAATCTTTTCCTGCAATAAAAACATTTTGAAACAATTCTCTACTCTATGTATAGTATACATAATTATGAGTGGGATATAATAGTACATTCAAATATGCCACAACACATCCAATTGTTTTGAAAGTGGCCATTCAAAAATGCAAAAAAAGTCAGAAAATAGTACATCAATGCAAGAGAAGCTATGTTTCAACATTTGCAGGTAACATCCTCCCACATCATATTACGTCTATGCCACATGCTATTCACAGAACAAAAGGCAAAAAAAATCCCAACCCCTCCCCCGCAAGTTATTTAGGCACAGATTATTATACATGACTAACTCCATTAATCTACATTAACAAATGGAGATGAGGCTAGGACCAAGACATCTGATGCCATAGCAATCTTTTGATATACAAGACAATGATTGTCAAAAATGGAAGATCAAAAAATGTGTTCATATTTCTTACATTATGAAGATAGTGTTCTACTGCAAATGGATTTAGCCAATTTGTTTTTTTCTAGGAAATATAGAAAAGATGGTAGGAAACAAGGCAAATTGTAGACAGAAAAATAAAGCAAATATTTAAGTTTTCTATATCAAGACTCTACATATTGATTGTGAAAATGTGTGCAGGAAAAGCTCCTCAGGGACCAACTTTAGGTATGTCTATACTGAAATGTAAGCTCAGGCTCGATGTTGTGAGCCTGAGCGTGCACACTGAGCATCGACCCCAGATGGAGAATTTCTGCAGCTTGGGTATCACACCTTTGCTCAGGCATTTACACTGCATTACACAGGCCCAAATCAAACTATCCCAGGCTTTGTAGCACCCTCCCCAACTGTAGATGCTCTAACCTTTGTTCGTGGTTCACTGTGGGAAAATGTCCAACCCACACATTACCGGAAGCTGTTGCAGCCCACCAAAACATCCTGCTGAGCCATCTTTTGGGTCTGCACACTCCCAACAAGCAGAGCCGCCAAGATGAGAATCACCATTTGAAAAACTTGTTTTGATTGGGCTTTCACTCCCGTTTCGGGAAACGGGTAGAGCATCCATGAGACAGTGGTGAATATTTAAATTGCTTTTTCTGACCTATTGAAAGCACCTATTAGAGGAAGGAGGAGGATACAGACTTGAACTGGCTGGTGCTGCTCATGACTCCGAGTATTGCTCCTGATGCTCCCTATGTAGACTGGCACTTTTGGACTAGGGCCACAAGCACAGACTGGTGCAATCATTGTCATGCAACCTGGGATGACCTGCAGTGACTCCAGAACTTTCGCATGAAGAAAGCTACATTTCTGGAGTTGTGAGCAGCTTGCCCCAACCTTTCAGTGTCACAACACACACTTGAGGGTTGCATTGCCAGTCACAAAGTGGGTTGCTATAACCATCTGGAAACTATCACAGATTACCCAAAGTTGACTTTCCAGCGCCAAACTGGCTAGCAATGGACCTGTAGCAATCAGGCATGTGATTTACCCAAAAGGTGGTTGGTATAAAGAAACAATATCCATGAAGTAATTGCTACTTTTGAGGGACTGGGGTTTCTAAACTACACCAGGGCCACTGATGGGAATTGTTTGTCCATAGTTTGGCCTCAAGGAGCACAAATACATAAACTGTGAAGGGTACTACTCCATAGTTATGTAGTCCCTTATGGACTACAGAGGCTGTTTTATGGATGCCAATGTGGGCTGCACTGGAAGGTTGATGATGCCAGGGTTTTTGGCCAAGAGTGAGTCTACCTTCATGGACAGGCCAGTACACTATTCCCACCAAATGACATTGTCATAAATGGAGTAACTGTCCCCACTGTTATTCAAGTTTGGTTACAATTTGCAGGAGACAATGTCACCTGAAAGTGAGAATAGGTGTTCGCATGGCACTGTTGTAGTCAGCGTCGCAAGATATTTACGTGCCAGATGCGCTAAAGATTCATATGTCCCTTCATCTTCAACCACTATTCCAGAGGACATGCATGCATGCAGATGATGGGTTCTGCTTGATAACTATCCAAAGCAGTCTGCAGCGACGCATGTTCATTTTCATCAACTGAGTCAGATGCCAACAGCAGTAGGTTGATTTTCTTTTTTGATGGTTCAGGTTCTGTAGTTTTCACATCTGAGTGTTGCTCATCTAAGACTTCTGAAAGCATGCTCCACACCTCATCCCTCTCAGATTTTAGATGGCAGTTCAGATTCTTAAACCTTGGGTCAAGAGCTGTAGTTATCTTTAAAAATCTCACATTGGTACCTTCTTTGCATTTTGTCAAATCTGCAGTGAAAGTATTCTTAAAACAAATATGTGCTGGGTCATCATCCGAGACTGCTATAACATGAAATATATGGCAGAATGTGGGTAAAACAGAACAGGAGACATTCAGTTCTCCCCCAACGTGATCAGTCACAAATTAAATTAACACTTCTTTTTAAAAAACAAGCATCATCAGCATGGAAGCATGAAGGGACATGCAAACGTTTAGTATATCTGGCACATAAATACCTTGCAACGCCAACTACACAAGTGCCATGTGAACGCCTGTTCTCATTTTCAGGTGACATGGTAAATAAGAATCAGGCAGCAGTATCTCCCATAAATGGAAACTAGCTTGTTTGTCTTAGCGATTGGCTGAACAAGAAGTAGGACTGAGTGGACTTTTAGGCTCTAAAGTTTTCTATTGGTTTTTTTTGAGTGCAGTTATGCAACAAAAAAAAATCTACATTTGTAAATTACACTTTCACGATAAAGAGGTTGCACTACAGTACTACTATGTGGTGAATTGAAAAATACTATTTCTTTTATCATTTTTACAGTGCAAATATTTGTAATCAAAAATATATAAAGTGGGCACTGTACACTTTGTATTCTGTATTGTAATATAAATCAATATATTTGAAAATGTAGAAAACATCCAAAAATATTTAATAAATTTTAATTGGTATTCTATTGTTTAACAATGCAATTAATTGCGATTAATTTTTTGAGTTAATCGCGTGAGTTAACTGCAATTAAATTGACAACCCTACCTGTAATACATTTTGTATTGGTCATAAATCTGAAATTTCTCCCATTCCTATATTAAGAGCAACAAACATGGATCCAGAAATGTACCAGGCTCTGGGGCTACTTATGTCTCTTCTGTTTCTGCAGTTTCTACTAGTTCTGCAGCAGGCTCCTCCCTGGGAGTGGGGGGAAAAAAAAAAATCAAACAGCTCCTTGGAGTATGGACCCAGCATGTGCTGCAGCTGCTCTGGTGGTGGAACCTCTTGGAAACCAGTGTGAGCACCAGAGTCACTTCACTAGCTTGATCTGGTGCCTGCTGGTTCCCCTCTAGTATAGGAGCAGTTCAGGGGTCAGAAGGTCACCATCCCAGCTGACCAGGCTATCGTGAACTGCTGTTGGTTCCATGCTTGATGCAGTAGCCAACACCCAGTCAAGCTCCTCATTAAAGAGGCAGGATGTTGGGGAGTTCCCAAAGGTGTGGTTTTCAACCCTGGCTTTCCAATAGTCTTGAGCTGCCTAATCTAGATGCAGCACTGGTCACCAGTCCGGTGAATCACGCACACTGCCAGTTCATCTGCAATTTTGTAGTGAAGAGAAACTTGTTGCTTGCCTCGCACCAGAGATTAACCAATATCTGACTGTGGTCCTGTCACCAGGGAACAATGTGTTTGTCAATGGACTTCTTATCGGTGGCCATAGCTAGCACAGAAGATGGTTCATTCTGTTGTCTGCAGCTCAGCAGTCAGAATACAATGTTAAACATTGAGCAGCTATACTTGAATAAGGGGAGGCTTCCATTTCCTGGGAGTCAGCTGGTTAGTCTTGAGATAGAAAGAACAAGGAACATTGGCCTATGGGACTGTGTGATAGAATTGGCAGACTATCAGGACATGAGTCTGGGGGACCCAGGCCCAAGCTACATCCACACTACATAATGATGCACTGTGGACTAGTGGGGCTTGGGTTTGGATGAACCCCTCTTGCTGGATCCTATATTCTGGGTCCAGGGGCTTACTGACCTTAGCTTTGTGTGTAGATAGAAGGGGGGTTAGCGCTCAAGCCTGAGTCTGAGCCCAGGCTTACACTGCACTGTAGACATACCCTCAGTGCCGTCTCTTCTACAGCACTGAGTGCCAAGTATGTAATAAGGGGAAGTGCCATGGTATTCTCTTAACACATCAGCCAGTAGAGCTCGCTGAATGCAAAGATGGCAGGGGAAAAGGCAAACAATAAGCTGTGCTTTGCAATGGGCTGTTCAGGTTACTACCTCAGCTCAAAGAGGGAATCACTGAGTTCTTTTTACTTCCTAGGATGGCAAAATTCTAAGGAGAAAGAAATCTAGTCCCAAATGAATGTGTGCACATCTGCACACACCCCTTCAGATCTGCCACCCCAAACATACACCCACCAAAAAAAAAACCAAAACCCTGCAACTCCTCCTCCTCCTGCCCAGAAAAAAAAACCAAAACACTCCATGCTGCTCACCACAGACCTATAGAATTTTGCAAGACTAAGGTGCATATGTGTATTAGATATTAATCATAAGTCCTTTACAAGACAGATGCTTGTGATCAGAAATTCTAGCAACAATTCTATTTTGAATAAAGGAGACAATTTAATCTGTCCAGTTTTAGATTGATACTTCAGATAGAGAAATGTAACTACTAAACTGAGTCTAGTAGAGGAACAAAACAGCAGCTGGTTTCAGTATTATATAATCTTAGTGGCCTGTGAAGGAGCCCTAAAAATAAAGGATAGGTGTATTCTGTCCATCACATATGTGCAATCTGTATATTTCTGTCCTTGCCCAATACATTGGCATTCATGACCATTTAAAAATTATTCTAGCACACAACTGCTGTGTGGTTATAGTATAACCTTGTAACACCAAATAAATCAAATCAGAACTTAATTTAAACCAAATGGACATAGCAAATATGGTTGGATATATTTGCTGATCTTTTACAATGTAATTGAATCCTAGAGGATAAAAGCTATTCGGATCAAATGGATTAGTAGGTCATCTAGCCCATTCCTCTTCCACTGTAGATTGTTCCCCATGCTGTATTTACTAGGACTTGTCCAATCTAGTTTTAATATAATCTTTCATACTTTTATGATAAACCTGAGTCTTAGTTACTATCTAAGATGTATAATGGAGAATACAAGGGAATAGACCATTTTAAAGTTTATAGCTTTAGTGAAGACTCTACATTGGAAATTAGGAATTTACTGTATGTAGGATTCAAATGCCATTAAAGATGAATGCTTAAAAAAGGATGGACTTCCAATGCAGTTGTCATGAAGTCCTTACTTCCTGTAAAATCATTTTCCTTATGAAAAATGTTTCATCCTACTGTATTTTCAGAATTAGTAAACACCATACTTCTATGTTCAAGGTGTATTTTATCCAAAGTGCTTGCATCTACTCAATTACTGATTTTGAAACTGGTTAAGAGAAAACCAAAATGTAAACATAAAAGTTATTACAAATGTGCAAACTTAATTATTAATCAGATTACAAAAAACCCTCTTTCACTAGTTACCACCTTGAACACTAATACATTAGAACTGCCTTTGTGTACATATTGAATTAAATCACTATTTTAAAAGTGTCTGAATCTATATGTTGATAAAAAGGTTTTCCTTTGTTTTAATAAAAATGTAATGGAGGGCAATTGACTGATAATATGAATTTATTGGTACCAAAGACAAAAAAACAATGTGCTAATTCAAGAATGACAATTAAAGAAAATAAAACACACCAGTTACTATGCTTTTTAGGACTGAACAACTCATCTACATAATAAGGCAACAGGACTGCCAAGAATATAGTGTAAGGAACTGAATGCATTAGCAATCTGTGCCTCCCACCCATTGAAAAATAAAGATAATGCTGAAAAAAATTACTGTTAAATAATGTAACTATGCCTGTAAAAGTGAGTATTATATCAACCCATATAACGATCTATTATACTCTTCAAAGAGAAGAGCTGAACTGCTTTAGCCACAACTGCCTTGGCTATACTGCAAGACAATGCAAAAGACCTTTGCTAGCAGTTTGTGGAGTCTTCTTGGAGACCTAGGGAGACATAGCCCTGATTTACACTACAAACTTATGTCAGTATTACTGCGGCACTCAGGGGTGTGGAAAATCCACACCCTGAGTGACATAGTTATACCGACCTAGCCTCTAGTGTCAGTGCTATGTCAACAGGAGGGCTTCTCCTATTGATATAGCTACTGCCTCCTGGGAAGGTTGAGTACCTATGCCAACAGGAGAAGCTGTTCCATCAGCGTAGGCAGTGTCTTCACTGAGTGCTACAGTGAAGCTGTAAGTGTAGACAAGCCCACAGTAAATCATAAAGGGACAGCTAGTTCCTGGAAATTGTGTGTTTGTTTTACAGCTCTCCCTTCTAGCCCACACTAACTAATAGCCAGACACCTGCATTTGTTTAGAGGAAAGAAGAGAACAGCACACACACAAAACACACCACATATTCCAATAGGACAAGAATTTGATAAATGTTAACAAAAGAAGTTGCTTGAATAGTTTGCTACAATGTTTTTATGTAATAGCACCACACTAGTGAGTGAAAATGCACTTTGAGCAGCACATACTAGCAGATGGTATCACAAACTACAAGTGATGACGAATCAAGTGAAGAAAGCATTGTTCCAACAAACAAAAACCACCACAAAACATCTAGCCCCTCCACAACAGTTATATGGGAAAAAACAAAAATTCTCTCAGGTTGGCATCTCTTCCATATTCTGATCTTCCCACATTCTCAAATTTCCCCCATCTCCCATGGACATGACTGGAAGTTCTAGGATTGAAGAGAAAGCAGAATATCTGCCAAGGACTATGTGGATCCAAAAACAGAATGTTGTCCCTAACAATGTTAGCTGCTTCTGTAACCCACTCTATAAATCTTCTCAGTTTTGAAGAGAATAACAGAAACTATTCTCTGTTGGGGCCACTGATAAGTCTTCTTGCTTATAAGATGGGATTTCTTTGGCCAGCACCTCAAATTTCCAGCCATATGAACAACAAGGAAACAATGACAAATACATATTTATATGAGCATTTGAACACAATATGAGCATTTTCATACTAAGGTGGCAGTTCTGGAGGGGAGAGGGTTACTGTGACATAGCCACATATACCAAAGTATTTAGTCTCCTATACTTAAGTTGTTTACACCCTAGAAATCTCTTGGTTAAAATAATAAATAATAATAATAATACATTTAGAAGTAGAGTTGCAATACTTTTCAAAAGTAGTAGCAGCAGCTGCCGCCGCCACCGCCTTCACAGTGAGAGCACTGTAGTAAAAAGGAGTTTGTTTCCACACAGTTTATCATGGTAACTTTGGATCAGAATTCTGATCAGATTTAACAGTAATACTACTAGAAGGACATTAGCACAGCCATCCCTTCACACAAAAGGAGTTTTTAAAAGATAATACATTATACCAGTATCTGTAAAACTGTTTCATAAATCCCCAAAAGATTGTGTCCATGCATAAGGCAACAAAGTCAGTAAAATATTCATAGCATCAAAGTTAAATTCTTAGCCTTTGTTGCAAAAAAATAAAAAGTTGTCAAGGATGAAATCTTGATTGTTAACACCAAATACTAATAAGAGAAACCACAGAAACATGGCAGGAAACTTGCCATATCTGCATAACTTACAACAGAAGATCTTAACATTCACAGGCTTTTTAAAAAAAGCCACACACAACACATTGAGAAACCTGAGTGAAAACATTTTAGGAACATACTGATAGAAGACCACCAACTAATCAGTCTGTTCCTTTTTAAGTTAATTTGTCAATTAAGTGCTTAGAACACAAGCTAGACTCATTTGTATGAACCTATACATACAGTATGTCATATGCTATTGTTTCCCATTCTATAGAGTGGGATTGTCTTTAAATGAAGTGACTCTGGGCATGCAGGCAGTGTGGCAAGGGAAAGGTTAAGATCAATAAAGAGGCAATACCTTGCTTCCTTAAAGGAGCATTTTATGGCAAAAGTGTGCATTGTTTCAATGAACCCAAGTGATCTTTATAGAGAAGTTCAGTTTTACATATATGATTTCTAGTCAGATTTTCCATTCTTACACATTTTGACTTCTTCTTGTCTAGTGAGACAAATAACTTTGTAGCATCCCTTTGTAATTTTGACCATCCACATCAAGTTCATCACATCCAAGACAACACTAGAGATAATCCAGGCGCTTTGGGCTGCAACTCCTACTCTGTGGAAAGCCTCTGTTCCAAACACAGAAATGACGTTGGCATAATAAACAGGCATGACTACAATCCTCACCATGAAGAACACGACCGTCATCAGCACCCCATTGATGATGTTGGCTTTTGAAGACCTGGGGTACCCCAGCACTTCAAAGAACCACCTGCAAGAGAGAAGTGTTCACAAAACCAAACAAGTTTCAGATTTTTCAAATCTCTTCTTATGACCAGTCACTATTCAATTTATCCTCAAGCCCTCCCAATCCTAAAATGCTGCCTTGTATTGTGGCTTCATCTAAAAGCTCTTTAGGCCAGTTAATTGTCTTGGTGCAAAGCATAGTGTAATCTCCATTACTACTTTAAAAAGTTTCATAACAATATTTTAAGGAACAGCATGTACAATAATCTCCTAATTTGAATTGTAAACTAATATGTAATAAGTATACATGTTAGTTGCTATCACTGTAGCGTAGAGGAGTGGTTTTCAACCTTTTTTTGTTTGTGGACCCCAACAAAGTTCAAATAGAGGCTTTGGAAATTTTAGACAATTTGTGGACCCCTGGGGGTCTGCAGACCACAGGCTGAAAACCACTGCTGTAGAACATGGATAATTTGTTTTGTAAATTAACTTTAAAATGACTACTGTGAAATTTATTTTTTGTTCTTTGAACATTTTAATTTGCACTTTTTTTTTTAAGAAGTGAAACTAAGCTGAGAAATTTAGCTCCAAACTTCCTCAGAATTATAGATTAAGGCCCCTACCAAATTCATGGTCCATTTTGGTCAATTTCACAGTCATGGGATTTTAAAAATTGTAAAATTTCATTATTTCAGATATTTAAATCTGAAATTTCACAGTGTCGTAACTGTAGGGGTCCTGACCTAAAAGGGGGCTTTAGAGCAGGGGTCTCAAGGTTATTTTAGGAGGGGCGGGGGGGTGTCACAGTATTGCCACCCTTACTACTGCACTGCTGCTGGTGGCTGCGATGCCTTCAGAGCTGGTCAGCTGGAGAGCAGCGACTGCTGGCCAGGAGCCAGCTCTGAAGGCAGCACTGCTGCCAGTAGCAGCATAGAAGTAAGGATGACATGCTATGGTATTGCTTCTGTGCTGCTGCCTGAAGAGCTGGGTCCTCTACTCTCCAGCCACCCAGGTCTGAAGGCAGCCCTGCAGAAGTAAGGGTGGCAATACTACAACCCCCCCACAATAACCTTGTGACCACCCTGCACCCCCTTTTGGATCAGGACCCCCCAGTTTGAGAAACGCTGGTCTCCCCTGTGAAATCTGTATAGTATAGGATAAAAGTACACAAAAATGACCAGATTTCACAGGGGAGACCAGATTGCACGGTCCGGGATGCATTTGGTAAAGCCCTAATTATAGGGCAAGAAAGAAGTTTGGAATTGGTGTTGTGAGTAGGACCCCCATCTGTTATTTCACATTTGCTGGATTTGGGCTTTTGTGATTGGTGCCTTGCTACTGTCCTAGTAAGATCCTTTGAGATCAGTCTGGTCCCAAGCCAAAACCTCAGCTCTAAACATTACAAGTTGAATTCCATTATTATATTAATGCTTAGCTGTATGAAAAATGTCAGTGTGGCAGAGTAATTTTGAATAGGTTTTCTACATTTTGATGCCCTACTAGAGAGGTGTAACTATTACATATAGCCTATTGCCTGGCAAGTAGAACCTGTAGGTTGGGTTCTTAAGAAAGTATTTATATTATTGTATGTTCCTCTCTTTCCCCTTCACTCACACAATAAAATCACTGCATTGAAGATTTGTACAGCTGTGACAGGTCAGAAAAGGGACAGAGAGGACCAAACCATAGAAAACAGCTTAACTGCTGAACCTGTGAAGGCATAACCAGCTAAAACTACTGACCATTAAGCAACAGATGTAATGATAGTTAGAACTTCCACTTTGTAATACTAATCGTATAGCCTGTTACAAATTTATTACTAGGGGTCACAGCCATATTGACAGATACTTGTGATATGACTGATTATAATTACTAGGGATCTATAATGTCCAAAGTCAAAAATTTTCTTAGATATGCATCAAGATGCTGATTAGGTACTGTGCTGTGCCAGCATATTAATTTATAAATGCTTTTTAAACAATAAATGAAAAAATGGTAATAGCACAACTGCTCACAACCAAAGTCAGGCAAAACATAAATTGTCATTCTATCACTGACTAAATCCATGCTAAAATTAAACTTGCCTTTTATATGGACAAGCCCAAATCAGAAAACAGTAGAAGAACAGAAAGGAGATGCAAGGTAATAATTTAAGAAAAAGTAAAACCTCTATTTACTGTTATGACAATTGTGCAATTCCTTTGTAATTTTTTAAAAAGTGAATGTAATGCTTGTGAAAGTGCTGGATTATTAGACAGCGCTGGAGACTAACTATAGAACAGATATAGCACAGACAGCGTCAGGGCAGTTCATACTGCCCTCACTATTCTACTTATGTGCTTAGAAGAAGACAGTCTCTAGGGAAGAGGGAGGTTCAGTCTCTAGGTCCATTTAGATCTTTGTCTTTATGCCAACAAGAAAGGAAATTGTGATAGTGGTTTTTGTGAAGTGAGCAGAGTAGTGCTCTGCTGGACTGTGGTTTAAACCTTTAAATTTTAGGCAGACAGTTCAATTCTACAGCTCATCTATTCCAGATAGTGTAGGTTCTGTCAGCTGGGTTAAAAAAAAGCATACATCTTTCAAAGAACAGAAATCTGCTCTATAAGAGCAAGACTTTAGTGTCCTGTACTATACTTTTTTTGCATTAAATTAGTCATTAGGAATACTCATTAGGAATACTGAACAAACTCTTTTCAGTAGTATTCATATTTACAGCTCTCCAGAAACAGTTTCATCTGAGTCATAAAATTACTTTCTCAAAATATAAATTCAAGAGGTATATTATACCAATATTTTTCTAATTGCAAGATGGAGAGGAGAGGCAAGACTGACACTAAAATCCAGAAAAATGGTCTGCTTTTTCTTCTATGGTTTTATTGTTCTAAATTTTGTCTTTAGACTACAATCTTTAGAAGAAATTATTGTAAATAAGAGGGTGAAAATATTTCACGTGCCAAGTATGTTATTTCATAACATTACATGCTACCATTAATTGGGCTACAAGATTGTTAGTTACAGTTTTCCTTTAGGGTTGTATTATCCCTACATTCAACTCTGGCACTTTCTGACAAGTTAAACAAAACAATTTTCTTATGTTCTTTTAAAATTAAAATAAGGATATAGTGAGGTACAAATAGTTTAAAATGGTGAGATGAGATTTTTCATATGTTACAAAGAATCCTAAATTGAACTAAGTTGACCTGTATTTTGTATACTGTCTGGTGAGAATTTAAGCCAAATCATGAGAGTGATAAGTCCTGGCACAGTCAAAGAATTATGATGTGATTGGAACAACAGAGACTTGGTGGGATAACTCACATGACTGGAGTACTGTCATGGATGGATACAAACTGTTCAGGAAGGACAGGCAAGGCAGAAAAGGTGGGGTAGTTGCATTGTACTTAAGAGAGCAGTATGACCACTCAGAGCTGCAGTATGAAACTGCAAAAAAACCTGAGAATCTCTGGATTAAGTTGAGAAGTGTGAGCAACAAGGGGGATGTCATGGTGGGAATCTGCTATAGACCACCAGACCAGGGGGATGAGGTGGATGAGGCTTTCTTTAAGCAATTAACAGAAGTTACTAGATCACAGGCCCTGGTTCTCATGGACTTCAATCACCCCGGTATCTGCTGGGAGAGCAATACAGTAGTGCACAGACAATCCAGGAAGTTTTTGGAAATTGTAGGGGACAATTTCCTGGTGTAAGTGCTGGAGGAAGCAACTAGGGGCAGAGCTCTTCTTGACCTGTTGCTCACAAACAGGGAAGAATTAGTAGGTGAAGCAAAAGTGGATGGGAACCTGGGAGTCAGTGACCACGAGATGGTAGAGTTCAGATCCTGACACAGGAAAGAAAGGAGAGCAGCAGAATATGGACTCTGAACTTCAGAAAAGCAGAGACTGACTCCCTCAGGGAACTGATGGGCAGGATCCCCTGGGAGAATAACATGAGGGGAAAAGGAATCCAGGAGAGCTGGCTGTATTTTAAAGAATCCTTATTGTGGTTGCAGGAACAAACCATCCCGATGTGTAGAAAGAATAGTAAATATGGCAGGCGACCAGCTTGGCTTAACAGTGAAATCCTTGCTGATCTTGAACTCAAAAAAGAAGCTTACAGGAAGTGGAAGATTGGACAAATGACCAGGGAGGAGTATAAAAATATTGCTTAGGCATGAAGGAGTGAAATCAGGAAGGCCAAATCACACCTGGAGTTGCAGTTAGCAATGGATGTTAAGAGTAACAAGAAGGGTTTCTACAGTTATATTAGCAACAAGGTGGTGGTCAGGGAAAGTGTGGGACCCTTACTGAATGGGGGAGGCAACCTAGTGACAGAGGATGTGGAAAAAGCTAATGTACTCAATGCTTTTTTTGCCTCTGTCTTCACGAACAAGGTCAGTTCCCAGACTACTGCACTGTGCAGCACAGTATGAGGAGGAAGTGACTAGCCCTCTGTGGAGAAAGAAGTGGTTCAGGACTATTTAGAAAAGCTGGACGAGCACAAGTCCCCTTAGATGCAGTGCATCCGGCCCCATGTGCTAAAGAAGCTGGCAGATGTGGTTGCAGAGACATTGGCCATTATCTTTGAACACTTATGGCAATTGGGGGAGGTCCTAGATAACTGGAAACAGGCTAATGTAGTGCCCATCTTTAAAAAAGGAAAGGAGGAGGATCCGGGGAACTACAGGCCAGTCAGCCTCACCTCAGTCCCTGGAAAAATCATGGAGCACGTCCTCAAGGAATCAATTTTGAAGCACTTTGAGGAGACTAAAGTGATCAGGAGCAGTCAGCATGGATTCACCAAGAGCAAGTCATGCCTGACTAACCTAATTGCCTTCTATGATGAGATAACTGGCTCTGTGGATGAGGGGAAAACAGTGGATGTGTTATTCCTTGACTTTAGCAAAGCTTTTGATACGGTCTCCCACAGTATTCTTGCCAGCAAGTTAGAGAAGTATGGGCTGGATGAATGGACTATAAGGTGGATAGAAAGTTGTCTAGATCATCGGGCTCAACGGGTAGTGATCAATGGCTCCATGTCTAGTTGGCAGTCAGTATCAAGCAGAGTGCTCCAAGGATCAGTCCTGGGGCCGGTTTTGTTCAATATCTTGATTAATGATCTGGAGGATGGCGCGGATTACACCCTCAGCAAGTTTGCAGAGCACACTTCACTGGGAGAAGTGGTAGATATGCTGGAGGGTAGGGATAGGATACAGAGGGACCTAGACAAATTGGAGGATTGGGCCAAAAGAAATCTGATGAGGTTCAACAAGGACAAGTGAACAGTCCTGCACTTAGGAAGGAAGAATCCCATGCACTGCTACCGTCTAGGGACCGAGTGGCTAGTCAGCAGTTCTGTAGAAAAGGACCTATGGGTTACGGTGGACAAGAAGCTGGATATGAGTCAGTGTGCCCTTGTTGCCAAGAAGGCAAATGGCATTTTGGGCTGTATAAGTAGGAGCATTGCCAGCAGATTGAGGGACATGATCATTCCCTTCTATTCAGCATTGGTGAGGCCTCATCTGGAGTACTGTATCCAGTTTTGGGCCCCACACTACAAAGAGAGTCCAGTGGAGGGCAACAAAAGTGATTAGGGGGCTGGAGCACATGATTTATGAGGAGAGGCTGAGGGAACTGGGATTGTTTAGTCTGCAGAAGAGGAAAAAAATGAGGGGGGGGATTTGATAGCTGCTTTCAACTACCTGAAAGGGGGTTCCAAAGAGGACGGATCTAGACTGTTCAGTGGTACCAGATGATAGAACAAGGAGTAATGGTCTCAAGATGCAGTGGGGGAGGTTTCGGTTGGATATTAGGAAAAACATTTTCACTAGGAGGGTAGTGAAGCACTGGAATGGGTTACCTAGGGAGGTGGTAGAATCTCCTTCCTTAGAGGTTTAAGGTCAGGCTTGACAGAGCCCTGGCTGAGATTATTTAGTTGGGGATTAGGTCCTGCTTTGACCAGGGGGTTGGACTAGATGACCTCCAGAGGTCCCTTCTGACCCTGATATTTTATGATTCTATGATAATTGAGTTGTTTTTATATAAATCAATGGAATTTGGAGATTAAAATGCAATTGTATATTATTACTGCAGCTTGGTGTTATTTTTGTTAACACTATAGCAGAGAACAAACAAAAAGACATAATATAAACTAATCTTTATGAACAATTTACTTTAGTTACTGTCTCAGAGGTCTGGTTCTTCTCAAATTTAATTAAAGTTATATATATAAATTTATGGGACAATAAATCCCTTAATGTAATAGACTATCACCATCTTCTGCAGAGATTCCTGTTTGTCTGCTAAGATAATAATTCTGGGTATTTGAGGACACTTGGCCTCAGTCAAAGAACTTTTAAATAAACATTTAAAGTAAATTGTGTATCTTTAATGATATGATATGTTGTGATGCTTCATATCACAATCTTTTAAAAAAAAGAAGAAGAAGAAAGGATTGATACAGATACCACTGAAAAAATCTGGGTGAAATCCTGGCCCTATTGAAGTTAATGGGAGTTTACCCATTGACTGCAATGGGGGGGTAGGATTTCATCCCAGGGAGGCAAGAATACCTTTTTATATAACCTTGATAAGGCCACAACTGGATCTTTTTCCTACGGACTCCTCAATACCGAAGTAATATTGATAGATTAAAGCAAGAACCACCACCTTGCAGTTTCTGAACAAATAAAAAGTAACCTTTATGGATCATTATAATCTCACCCCGTCTCTCTAACTGAAAAGCTGAGCTTGCCAACCCAGTGTTTGAGACAGACCCCAACATGGCACCTTCTCATAGAGCTACTAGAGACTATGTAGTATACTATACTCTACTGCAGGGGTTCTCAAACTTCATTGCACCGCGACCTTCTTCTAACAAAAAATTACTACACAACCCCAGGACAGGGGACTGAAACCAGAGCAGTATTATAAAATATTGACAGCAAGTAATCTAGAACAATGATAAAGGTTTCTAAATATCAGAAGGATGAAGTTCTGGAACAGCCTTCCAAGTGGAGCCATGGGGGCAAAAAACTTAACTGGCTTCAAGACTGAACTTGCTAAATTCATGGGAAGGATGGTATGAGACTACCTAAAATGGCATGTAGCTGATGTGCGACTGCTTGAAGCAAGTATCTTCAATAGCCACTGATGGGGAGGGCTCTGAGTTACTATACAGAATTCTTTCCCAGGTGTTTGGCTGGTGGGTCTTGCCCTAGGGTCAGATTGCCAGAGACTGTGAGGGTGGTTTTTCCCCCCCTTCCTCTGCAGCACAGGGCACGGGTCACTTGCAGGTTTAAACTAGTGTAAATGGTGGATTCTCTGTAACCTGAAGTCTTTAAATCATGACTTGATGACTTCAATAAGTCAGCTAGAGGTTATGAGTCTATTACAGGACTGGGGCAGGTGAGGTTCTTTTTTATCTAATAACCTATTTATACCCATCTAATTTATACACTTATGCATACTCTTTCGTTCAATAGATTTATGCCAACTTCATGTTGCATACAGAATGCTATTTACAATAAGGAGGAACTCCTCTGGAATGCACTGGAACAGTTCTAGAAGTACAATAACCCGAAATTTTCATAGCAAGCAAGCTTTTTTCGGCTTATAAATCTGGCTATGTTCAAGTGTGACTACAGAAAGTGAATCAAATTTCTGTTATTTACAGTTAAATTCAGTTATCTAACAAGACAAGACACAAGTTAAAGTAAAATAATTAACAACCACCTACCGCTGATTCACAAAAGGAGTAGAGAACTCTGCAAGTAGACGGAAGTTACCAAAATATGCCAACATTCCTTCATCCTACATAGCAAGATAAATATTAAAAAGAAGAATCAGGGATGTAAACTAGTCAGAAATTTAAATCTGAAGAACACATTGACCATTTCCATTTTGTTAAAGTTTCCCAGCATTTGTAAAATTGTATAGGATCTCAAATATTTTACCAAAACTGAAAGTGTCAAGTAAATGTAATAAATTTCATAATCCTCTTTATAAAAAACTTTAAAGTAAACTGTTTAACATTTAATACTGCTGCCCTTTGATTTTTTTTAAAAATGATAAATTAAGAAAGCAGGGAAATATGCAATGTGTCTTGTGACTCCAAATCATTGACCAAGTATTCAAAATACTTTAGTTATTTGTGGAACATTAAACAAATGCCAAAAGTTGGCTAATGAATGATGGCACTCCCTAATCAACGTAAAAATAGTGGTAAGTTATGATAAATTAAAACGGATCTATTTTAGAGTGATCTAAAATGATTCAAGAACATTTTGAATCTCATGTTTTAAATAAATCCAGCAGAACCATACTTTAAACTCAGAGAAAAGGAGTACTCGTTTAAGTAAGTTAGTTAGCCAAAACAGAGCCTGAAGGTCAGATCCTTGGTTCTGTTCCAACTCTTCTGCACTGCTCCATCACTGCAAAAGAGCTGGAAAGCCTGCATAACTAGCCAGCTGGATTCTCTCAGCTCAGGGGAAATCTGTGGATGGTGTAGAATAGACTATGCAAGCTCTACTCTAATCTTGTTAGAGGCCCCAGCAAAGGGGATAGGTTGGAGGAAGGGCATGTGGCTAGAATCTTTCTGCCAGCTGCAGATTGCCAGAGAACAGCAAGGCACCAAAGCACAGCTGCACAATTAAACTGAGCATTTTGTAAACTGTCAAATTACCCAAAATAACTTTGGATTGAGGTTTCCACTTATAAACCAAATCTTCCACTTATCTGCCCTGGTTCTTTCTGTCTACAGAAGAGTAAAGATATATTGTTCATCTCTATTACTTTTTGGCAGCATCACATACTCCTAAGAGCGGTAATTAAATGTTTGTGGGAGAAGCAGTTTGTGAGGCTGAATTCTACACTGGAACCCATTAAAAAGGTAGCATTCACCAACACTTGCCATACAGCAGTAGGTCAGGTGCCACGGTTTTTCCCCTATACTTGGAAAGAGGTAATAATGGCTGGCAAATATTGACTTCTTAATGACCACCACTGTATTGCTATAGGAGTTTATTAGTGTGCTCAGCATGTATAAAAAACTGAAAAATTGTGCATCCCGTGCTCTTACATTTTAAGGATCAAATTCTGCCATAAGATATATGTGCACAACTTCCACTGAAGTCAATGGTAATTTTATGCATATATCTGAGGGCAGAATTTAAACCTCGATTCAGTGATGACAATGACTTTTTTTTTTAAATTCCAAGATCAATGTCAGAGATCCTATTATTTACCTCTTAAATCTCTGGGACTTGTTTTACTGTCATTGCAACTAAAAGAAGACAGTAAATATTTGGCATTCTTTGACTGGCCCTGGAAGGGATAACGTTGAATTTCTCTAATCTGGTCTCAGGAGTTCCATGATTCTACTGATACGTCTATTATCTTCAGCTAGAAATAGTCATCTTCTCTGATCCAGGTAATAGGAATCCTGAGACTAAATCCAAACCAAAAGATTTGGACATGCAGATGAATTAACAACAGGCACACTGAATGATTTCAAGTGGCAGTAAGCAACTTTATTTAACACAGGGGAAAGCATTGTATGTGAGAATGGGGGATGGCATATCAGACATTTAATGGGGTCTAGTACAAGGTTGCAGGATTCCTGCCATAAAACCAATAACTGAGGATAGTTTGTTTCTGAATCTTCTTTAACAGCCCCCACCCCATGTCTATAGAAGGTGTAAAAGTTACCAAGAGAGGATTTCAGTGCATCAAGACTTCTTGTCTCCCCTTTTTCCCCATAGGTAAATGGGCCACCAGTGAAATCCAGGATCTCATTTACCTCTGGGAACTGGTCCCTTGTAGCCTTATCTGTACTGGACACTGGCTGCAAGTTGCAAAAAGCTAAAACATTTAACAAATTTAATATTAGGAAAGGAAGACTTAATTCTTATAACCTAACTGTGCTTCCATGATGCTGTGAGGAAGGGGGGGAACCCACACTTTTGCCAATTAAGTCCAAGGGGAAAAATTTCTTCCTGATGCAGGCAGTTAAGTTAGACTTGCAGCATCCTAATAACAAAGCTGTTATGCTACAACTAAGAGGAGTGAGTGCAGGGCAACTAGCTGGAACAAGAGGCTTTTGAAAACCTGGGGTGGGGGGAGGGAGTCTAAATAAGTGGGGATGAAAGAGGCACTATGAGTACAAACTGGCTAGCCCATGCCCCTGTCAATGGGAAGCCTGTGGTCTCTCCCCCACCTCCATTCCCACCATGGGTGTGTTCTTGCATCCACCTCTCCTTCCCCACCTCCTGCTAGGACTGTGTACATCAGGGTGGGGCATTAAGAGTCAAGTGTATTAGTTTGTCAAACTGTAATTTTATATAAAAAAAGACAACCTCAGCTTTTACTTACATATAGCCTCCCCCTGATGTTTACAGGAAGAAGGCAACAAGTGAAAGCTTGCTGATATATTTGTATTACTGTATACTAGTTGCTCTCTCCATATTTACTTGGAAGGAACATCAGCTTGGGGGGAGGAGTCATTGGTCTGAAAAATTTTTACTTATGGGATTTTCAAATGTTCCTAAGTGATTTAGGAACACCATAAGACTTCCAATGGGAATGGTCATCTATGCACTTAGAAAATCCTACCCACTATAGTTAAAAGTAATACATAAGATTAACTGAAATCAGTTAATTTTTCTATTTCCCTTCAATTTAGTTTGTGTATTCAAACAGCACTTTGTGTTTAGTCAATACCACTGTTCACCCAATAAAGTCATTTTTTTCCCTTGCTGAAGGCACCCTTATCAATAGGAAAGAAGAACAGTGTCTACACTGCATTTTAAAAAAAAATAAAATATTTTCAGGGACATTTTATTTAAAGGATTCTGTACCGAAATCTGGAACGTTTAAAATTAGCTTTGTCAAAAAGTTGACAGTGTCTCTTTAATAAATACTTAACAATTTACATCTTCAAAGCACTGTACCACCAACGATAAATATTAACATAAAGTGAGTGAGTGTCAGATATTAAAGAGACACCAACATAAATTAAAGTAGGATTCATTTCAGAAGTCTGCCAAAATAGGGCAGAGTTCCATTAACAATGGAAAGTGCTGTTGGGCTAAAATATGAAAAAAGTAAAGTGGGACAAGTTTTAAATCCCTTTTATCGTAATTGGATTTTTTTACACAGGAGAAAAAGAAAAAACACTGGATATACATACACTACACTTAGAGATCACGGACTTGTGGAAATGCATTGCAAATACAAGGAAAGTGGAAAACATGCAATTGCTTTTGGCTGTTGTCTTCTTCCTATGTGCAGCAAGCTACAGCTAAAAGTTGTCATCTACTTTTGGTCAGAGTGATTTATTTTAAGTAGTTTCCTACAGCTGTATGTGTCACCTAAATAATTTGTATCAAATATCTAGTTTAACAAAATTAAGAATTTTAATTCTTCATCTCATTAAACCAATGATTCCCAAATCATATCACAATCACAATCAAAATAGAGACTGCACTTAATCCCTTTTCTGGTTCCTTCTTTTGCACTTTCCAGTTGTTTGTTCCTCTTTTGTTTAGTCTCTCCCTCTATTGTCTTTGGAGTGTCAGGGAACAGAGGCTACTCATTTGTGAGTGTAGTTGGAGCACCTTTCCATTCCAAAAAGTCACGCTACTGGGGAAGTGTGCCTGGGAACTAGCAGCCCCCAAACCATCTAGAAAGCAACGACCACTGAAACTCTATTCATAACCCCTCATAGACCTAAAATGTCTAGTGCAAAAATCAACATAATTTTTCATTCCTTTCACCAAATTCAGAACATTGGGTAAGGACTTCAAAGTAGTAGGATCTTCAGAAGCCATATACTGGCAATTCTCCATCAAGAATTGCCATATCTATATATATCCATCCCCTCTTGTATCTTAATTCCTAGGTTTCAAAATAACTTGTTGCACCTGCTCTGTAATTTCAAGGTCGACTAGATGCAGCAAGTCTGGATCAGGTAAAAAATGCGGCCATCCTTTTGGGACAGAAGATCCGAAGACATTAGAAGAATGGCTCCAATGCTATTGCAAGGAAATCAGATTACCCCCCCCACATACACACACAGAACAACCAAACAACCCCACACAGTAGTGATCATTGAAAAGTCAAATATTTTATATTAAACCTGCCATTAACTTAAAATATTTAGTACTTCTGAGGATGATTAAAGTCAGATGTCCAGTTACAAATTTTCAACTTAAAGTATTAACTGACACCAGTTTTATACCTAGTATTTAGGTATCAGTAAATAAACATGGAGAGAGCAGTACACAGCAACAATGAAGTGCAGCTGCAATCTCCCACCCTATCCTCAATATAACTATCATCTACACTTTTAGGCAGCAATAAGCCTATAATAAAATGAAACTCACTGTTAGTCATGATTTGGAAGATTAAAATGTGTATGCATCATTGTATGTTATGTGGATTTCTTTGAAAGTGTGTAGAAGTACTTCATTTTAAACAGATATTTGTTTCAAACTTTATGATGGGCAGTGATGCCTAGTGGATAGAGCACTAGACTAACTCTGGAGACTTGGGTTCTACTTCTGGAACTGCCACTGGCCTAGGGGGTGACTTTGAGCAAGTCACTTTGCTGCTCTGTGCCTCAGTTTCCCCATCTGTAAAATGGGGGAAATGATACTTAACTCTTGTGTAGCGCTTCATCTGTAGCTTACAAAAGAGCTAAGTATGAAATACAAGAGCATTGATGTTTCTTTCATTCATTTTATCAAATTACAATATATTCTTGACATAAAATTAGAGTCTTTCATAAGAAGGTATACGAAAGGACAATGCTGGTACACACTAGCAAACAGTTTAGAAACTTAAAAATAATCAGTACAATATGAAAAAAGGAGATTGAGGTTATTACAAGTCCTAAATTAAAATTTTAAAAAGGTCTCTTTGAAACAAACAATAGTAAGGAAGTTTCAGCATTCATACTGACATTTCATACAAATAATCATTTCCTTTTTTATGTAATACTTCACCTGGGCACCTGTATAGCATTTTGCTGACTGTATTGGGATAGATTAGATAGCTACATAAAATTTTTTTAAAACACTACATTCAGTATACTCTAAAGTTGAACTTTTTTAAAGTTTAAAAAATCCCAGTTGCTGTTTTAAAAGAGTTATAGATTATAAATCTATATCTCCAGAGCTATTCAAAATGAATCTCAGTAAAAGTTATTTTACTGCTATTCTCCAGTAGGAAGTTTATGACCCCCCCAAAAAAAAAAAGAAGTGTTAATGAGCAGGCAGATGCTAAACAAACTGCGAGCTTTATAGTTAAACGTATTATTTGGTAGGAGAATTGTAAATATGTAAGTATTGTCGTTCATATTAAACAAAACCATTAGAATTTACCTTGACAAAAGGTGTCGTGAGAATTTGTTATTTATAAAAGCACTTTGAGGGTAAGTGCTCTGCCAGAGAACTTCTGGCAGAGTCAAACCTCTCTTGTGCATGCAAGTGATGAGTAGTACATTCTGCGTGACCAGCTATGGACTTGATCCCAATCCCATTGAAGTCAGGGTCAAAACTCCTACAAAGGGAGGAGGTATTAGATCAGACAGCAAGCTGATATTTTCCTGAGATTTAATCATTGTAAAGCTGAAAGATGAAATAAAAATTACAAGGCTTTTGAATAGTAGGTTTTTACAGGCAATATGTGCTGTAATACCTAGATAAATAGTGCTGGTTAAGTGCAGACTTTCAGCATTTACTCTGAATTTTGCAGTTTTTGTTGATGTAAGCAGCCATATACTCTTGCTGCAACTATATCCTTTAATTATATACACTGTATGTTTAAACTAAAGACATTAAAGACCCTTCCCCCACCAAGGAACAGGAAATAAACTTATGTATTAGGTATCAGTTGATAGCTCAAGTTAGCTCCCCCACAGCCATTATGTAGTACTGCATAAAAATTTATTGCAATAATTTGTAAACACCACACAATTAACAAAAGTCATTAGCTCATTGCAAAATAAAGTCTGAATAATTCCAAACTAGGTCATATGTAGAAAAAAGCTTTTTGAAAAGTCGTCTTAATTGCTGACATTCATGGAAAGTTTTAAGATTTAAAAGAATTCTAAAAAAACCTGACTGTGTTAAGATCCTGATTCAGCAAGATACTTAAGCACATCAAAGCAACTACCCATAAGTTTAAAGTTCCGTGTTTTGCTGACTCAGAGTCACGTTTTAAACTGAAGACATTTGAGTTTGGGGAGTGGGAGGGTGACATTGAAATGTTCTTAAGCTACAGCCCTTTAACACAGAGCATATTTTTGTACTGACAAGCAATAAACTGGTAGAGAAAGTATCTTGCATTAGAAATCAAGTCAGTCTTAACTTTGTAAAAAGAGTTTTAACAGCATATACAGCAATTTAATCTGTGAAAGAGAAAATGTTCAGTTCAAAACACATACTGGGTCAACTAACTCAAAGCTTTAACCGGTGGCCAAAAAATATCCTATAAAGTATTTCTCAGTGTTGAGTCATTGTAACGCAATTTACTGAAATTGCAAATATGGATAGAAAAAACCACCACCAAGAACAAATGTATGCTACCATTACATAGCTCAATACAGCTCTAATATTAGTCTATTGACTTTTAAACAACTTACATAATAAACCCTATTTCAGAAGCCAAATTGGGATCAACCTCCTTGAGCTATTGAACCCAGTATTAGAGTCCACCAGCTTTGGAGTTTTAGAGGCACTTATTACTTCCCAGTTTCGCTAAATCCATGCTGTTTGACTTACCTCTAACATCTCTTAATCTCTAACAGTATAATAAAGTTCTGGACATGAATGCAGAAGCCACCAGTGAAAGTCTAATTAATGGATTTTAGGATCTAAGGTCTTAAAGTAAGCATGCCTGTGTGTGTTTAGGAATGCCTATGTAGCTGCTGGGAATGTATTTCCCAGTGTGGATAGACAAACACTAGCTCTGCTCAAGCTAGTGTCCTAAAAATAGCTGTGTGGCCACAGCAGCATGGCTAGCAACACAAGTCCATACCCATGAGAAGAGGGGTCAGGCAGGTTTATACTTGGGTGCCTAGTCTAAACCACCATTGACATACTGCTATTTTTAATATGCTAGCTCAAGTATAGCTAGCGCATGTATGTCCAGCCAGGCTGGAAAGCACACTCCCAGCTGCAGCGTAGACATACCTACCCTTGCTTGTATGTAGAAATACAAAAAGTGGAGTTTCTTGGGGCAACGCTGTTGAGACACCAAACAGCCTAAATTTAGAGCCGTGAAATTCACCCTTAGTCACTATTCCCAATCTTGTCTGGTTGTTAGGATATTGGAAAATATGGCACTCACCAGTACAAAGTAGTAGGCATACAGAGCTGCCAAGTGATGAATTACAAAAAATTTATCACCAATTGCCTTCCAATAGTAAGTAATAAGAAACAAATCTGTAAGGGAAAAAAACCCATTACTACAACGTAAGCTACCTAAGGACTATAATAGTTCTCTTTAAAGCTTTCAATATTACAGCAATCTAAAAGGAAAAACCCTTTTTGGTTATCTGAGCTATGCATATATTTTGAATGACAAATGGTGTCCAACTGAACCCACAAAAAAGAAAAATAATCTGAATTGTCTTTGACTAGAGCATTTTAAGCTCAAGACTTCTGTATTCCACCCCCCAAATCACCCTGCACTTCAGATGGACATTAAATGTGAAAGGAAAAATTAGGCCTAATCACTGGTTAAAATACTTTAGCTCTTCAAAAAAATGTTCATAAATCTTTATATTTCCTATGTGAAGGGAGCTGCCTGGCCACAGGAGGTACACTGTGAGCAAGAGTAGATTCAGGGACCCCCCAGTTATAGGTCCTGGTCTGGAAGAGGACTCATGAGCCCACAGTAATTGTATCAAGAAACCCAGAGAGAAAAAGGGGCTTGAGGACACTGCCAGAATATGACTAGGTCCACTATGGGAATGGTGGAGCAGCAGATATTAGCAAGGCAGGGACCCCTAATGCTAAAAACATTAGCTCTTTGATTTGTTGATTTCATTTAGTCATAGTCCACCAGTGATCACAAAAGATAATGATAACCTATGTCAGATTATTTAAGAACAAATAATTGAGTGAAAGTACAACTGTAAGTAAGGATGACAGCCACATCAGATAAAATTAAAGATATTTTCAACCTCTTTCACATAGGATCAGACTCTGGCTTAAAAATATATAGGAAGACAGGGACAATGGGGAGAGGAGTAAATATGCAGCTGTTTCCCCCAGCTTTGTTGGGATTGCAAAAAACTTGCAGCTTGCACTCTATGGGCACAGGGGAGAGTGAGGATATTAAAACTGCCAGCAGCAGTAGACATCCCAAAAGGGGTTGGGGTCACAACTCCCATCCCTTCTGCATTGTCTGGAGGACCAGAGCTGAGTATTAAGGTTGTTCACTGGACCATCTTAAAGCATGCAGTAGTAGCCACACTACTGTTGGGTGTTCCTTCAGCACCTAATAAGGCAGTATTTCCATCTCTCTCCTCCACTAGCAGGTTACCTCCAGAAACTGTACCACAGCTCACGAACACAGCAGTAGCTTTAAAAGCTACACTGGAACCTATATTGTTTATAGAAGCTCATCACATCTTCAGAATAATATTTAGATGTATCTTTGTAAGTGATAGACAATGTATATAGTTACCAGAAATGAGGTAGCCTGTGGTAATAGCAATATTCAGTTTCACAATTGAAGGGTCACCCCTGTAAACATAAAAAAGGTACAGTTTCAGCCTTTATAATAAAAAGTTAAATTTGCATAGGACATACAAATATCACAAACCATTCCCCTCCCCCCAGGCCACTCATGCTTGATCCAGCCATGTAGCATCATGGGAATTCGGGTGAGAGGGAGAGGAGAAGTTGCTAATTAGGAAGACTGATTCCAAAGACAGAACACATCTGCTGCCCCAGGGAGGCCAGCAGCAAGGATCACCTCATGCCTTGGGCAGCTGGCAAGGGAATGGAGCTGAAACTCAATAAGTCCCCCGGCATACTGAGGAGATGAACAAAGGTCAGCTAATACAGAGTGCTTGTCAGCACCAGGGCCGGCTCTAGGTTTTTTGCTGCCCCAAGCTCCAAGAGCACAACTGCCCAAGCAAAAAAAGGGAGGTGGCAGGAATGCCGCCTCTGGAATTGTGCCGCCCCAAGCACATGCTTGCTTTGCTGATGCCTAGAGCCAGTAATAATGTCAGCAAAGGTGCTGACCAGGAAACACCCCCTTTTATGCCTCTGATCCTGCTCTAATTTTAGCAAACGTAGTTTGGGATGATAAGTACCAGTTGAGTGAGAAGTGATTTTTAAAAAAACCTAATCATAAGATACCATGTTGACAGCTAAGTGCAAGGGAACATGAAAATTACTCTCCTGTAACCAAGCTATTTAAGAGGATCTCAGCACAGTCTCACTTTTGGGAAGTGCTGAAATTGTAACTTGGACTGATGGAAACTTCTAAACAGCAGTGCCCACCGCTGCACTCCGTGCGCCCTGCCCCTCTCCTCATGGCTCCTCAAAGGGCAAAGCCATAAAAGCATACATGGTGTGCCAACCACCTCAGTTCTTTTACCACCTCAAGTCCAAAGTTGTAATTAGGACTCAGAGGAAAAAGGTGGGAAGCGAGTGTCATTATGCAGAATCCATCTCCAGGAGCTCTGGTTACAGGTGACTAACTTTCATTTGTTCTTTGAGTGGCCTCGGCACATTCCCACTCCTAGGAGTCTGGCAAGCAGTATTCTTCACTCTATACAGTGATCCAATGAGGTCTCATTAAAAATATTGTAAACTGCTTTACCAAATTGTGCATCTGATCTAGATGCCACATGTAAGGAATGTTTTATGAAGTATGAATTGAGACTAATTAAAAGCTGTACAGATGCAGCTTTGTTCTCAGAGTGCACTCTAAGGTCTTTTGGAAAAGGTGCATTTAAAACACTCTTCAATACAGAGTCCAACCCATGTAGAAAGGTGTTGGGATGTGACTGCCCAAACTTCACTCTTTCCCCGTAAGAGACAAATAGTCTTGGCAATTTTCTGCCAGTCATAAAAGGCTAATGTTCTGTTAGCATCCAAGGTATGGAGTTTACCTAGAATGTAGCCTTGGAAAAAATACTGGCAAGTTTATGGATTGATGGGGATGATAGATGTTCATTAAACCCTTCAGAATCTTTTTAATTTATCATGACTAAATACAATATTTTGTTCAACTAAGCTATAGTGAGCAGACATGGCTGCGAGATGTATTTTTACCAATGATATGGAGAGTCTCAAGCATTTCAGATTAATGAGATACTCCCATATGAATAGGAACTAAACCTAGGTTGACTGTTAGTTGCCCACAAAGAGAGCCATTTCCACTTACGATCGTAAAAGTCGATGTTTCCTGGAGTTTAAACAGAATTCCTGTGCTTTTTACTCAGAACAGAACTATTCTATATCTGTCAAAATACTATTCTGCCCCATGGAGGCCTGGATGGCAAATCTGACCTCTAGGCTGGGCCCGTAATTCCAGGGAGAGACAGATAAACTGTTTATGATCGTTGCAGTAGATCCCACAACTGCCGTTGTCTCACACAGGCCAAAGTAACTTTAGCTTTCTCTTGTTCGAATATTCATGAGAACCTTGAATTAGAAGAATTTGGGGCTGAGGGACAGAGAGGAGGAAACCTACTCCCTAGTCTACAGGAAATGAATCAGAGATGGACCGGTTGTCCATTCCTTCTCTGGAGCAATACCTCGGACAATTGGTGTTACATCTTGTTGCAGATAGGTCCATCTCCAGGTACTCCCATGGGGAAGGGATGTCACTCTATAGAGAGTTCCCAAGTGACCACCTGTGCTGATCATGAAAGTCTCTGTCAACTGATCTGCCAGTATGTTGTCTTTGTCTGCAAAGTGAGGAGCTATATGATAAATTTGGTGTGCCATGCACCATTCCCACAGAGCCACCTGCCTGGAGTGGGCTAAACTGAGCTGCAGTTCTTCCTTTTCCTTCACCGAAACACGAAATTGCCATATCACATCAGACCAGTGGTCTTTCGATTCTAAAAAAGCTTCCATAGTGGACAGTGCTCGTTGGTGAAGTTTCATATTAATTCCTGTCAGCTAGTGATTTACTTATGACCTGAAGCATACCTTCCTCCTCCCCCCACCAATTTATCTCTCCTATTCTCACAACCTCCGACTTCTCCCTCATTTTCATAACCTTAAACAATACCGAAGTAGTCTATAAAGTCAATGGTATTAAGAAGAGGGGGGGAGGGGAACCTACTAATATGGAACCAATAGAAATCAAGGGAGCTTAGAATCTTGCAGGACAGAACCCTAAACAATTATAATATCCCTGTGAGGAAAAAGTGAAAGCATTATCCTATTCTTAGGAATGAAAAACAAAATAGCATTAAAAAGAATATTCCCAAAGCCACACGTCAAGTCAGTTGCAAAGTTGTGATTAGAACTCCTAACTTCATAGCATCCAGTCCTGTTCAGTAGACTAGACCATATTGCATTCTATTACTGATCTGGAAACTGAACAATATCAAATGCAAACATTTGTTCTGTTCTTTTAAAACCAGATGAAATATTTTTTGCATTTGAGTTTAGTCAGATTCCCATGTTGTGATTCAGTTTAAAATAAAGTTATGGTGGAAAGAAGAGTTAAAGCTTTAAAAAAAATAAAAAGTTTAATTATACAGGTAAAATCAACAGTATCTCTTATATTTAAAGAAAGGGAAAAGTCAGTCCCAATAAAGGGTAACAGCTTCAATCTCATGAATCAACTCAAACAAAATCCTGTATTATACTGCTAAAGTCTGTTGGGGGTGGGAAAAAAGGACAAACGCCAAGGACCAAAACCAGTAAACTTATTTTCTTTTGAGTTTTTAAGTTGTAATGCAGAAAGATCTTCTAATTAGAGGAACTACTGGAAAAAAATAGTGAAGGAGGAGCAGCAGCAGCATTTATTAGAGAGAGTACCTCTGTTGTACCACTATTGACAAAAATCTTTTTGGAGGGGGTGGGGAGCTGAAGAACTGTTATAGTGTCTTGGTTATACTAAAGAAACCAAAAAAATCCCCACCCATCTCATCTAATCTAACTTTTGGTCATAATCTCCCCCTCCCCCCCCCAATATTCTGAGGGTGCAACCAACCTAATTTTCAATTACTAAGGGACAGTCTCCACTCATTGATATATTTTGCTTTCCACAACCAAATCTCTGTACAGCTTTTCATGAGTGATGTACCAGAGTATTCAGATTCTAATATCTAAACTGTGTTGTTAAATCTATTTACCTAAATTTGGGTTATTGCGGATTATGTACGCTATGTATCATATGACATTTAAAACTAACTTTATATTTGTGGATAATCTAAGCACTATATCCAGATGTACAGACACTTTCCCCAATCTATTATATATTTCTTTTTTTTTAACATTAGCTTTAATAAAATTTTTATAATTTCGCTGTTTCACTTTACAAGCAAAATAGTAAATAGATGCAAATAATGATGTTAAATCTTCAGTTACCTTTTTGACTGTTTAGGGTTGTATTTTCAGAACCGTGCATTAAAATTGGAGATTGAAATTCAGTTAAGTCCTGAGAAGTGTGTCTGTTTATACTAAGTTGTAGAAACAGTTATACAGTAGACTTATAATGGCATTTTAATTGGCAAAATATTTTGGATTTTACTAGAGATAGTCAGGACAGACCTAAAATGGCCCTCTACATTTTAAGAGAAACTGAGTGATAATTTGGCTAGTTAATACTCTAACATGATAGCAACATCGTGAGACAAAGATGTGGGGAAATGGGAACAAAGAAAAAAGTCATTCTTAAAAAGTCAGTTTGATATAACTGGTCTTACCAGACATGGTCAGCATTAACAGCTTCATCATACAACAAGATATATACACAAAAAGCACCAACCACCAAGGCATGGAATGTGGATACTGTCCTGAAAAAAAGAATTACATTTGTGATTACCATTCTGAACTATACCACAATTTAGAATATACTATCTTAAGTGCAAGATGGTATATTTCCAAGGAAATTCTAAATGACATACAGAAGTTCTTGAATTATAAAGACATTTCATTTTTATATTATATCTATCAGCTCATGGATTGACTGGTTTTTAATACAGACAGCAAAAGTATACATGGGAAGCAGGAATTTTTTTTTTATAATGACAAAGTAGTTAATTTTATGTTTTAACATACCTTGATAGCTGTCCTATTCATTGACACTTATCTGAAAAAGCAAACTCATGATTAAGCTCTTTAAATTCATTCTTCCAGCAGTGATCAACTTGTTAAATGGACCAAAAGACGTCTTGTACTTTATACTGAATTCAAAGTGGTCCATATATGCTATGTTAGCAGATTTCTGTTTGTAAGCACTAAATTTAACAGCTGGAATGCTTCCCCCCCCGCCCCGCTGCCTTTTTTTTTTTTTTTTTAAAAAAAAGGTAGGTGGAGAGGGCTGGAGATTAAACAGGAACTCTAGCACTGACAGCTTCAGAGAGGGACAGTCTTGTGCATATGACCCAGCTTCTAGGTCTCATAGAACAAAATTTAGTAGTACAAGACAGCAAGATTGCAATTGCAAGACTGCAATACACAAATATGAGCATCATAGGTGTGCTGAGGGAATAGCAGCTATAGTATAAATGATCGTGCTTATTTTGACACACAGCTTCATCTTCAGCAAGATTCCTAAACCCAATATGTTCCCTCCCCTGCATTAAAGATGGCTTTGGAAGGGGGTCTGGCAGCATCTATGCTAGACCAAATGCCTGCGAATTTCAAGTTGGATATATTTCATAGAAGACAGCATAATAAGGGGTGCATAGATCCAAAATTTGTGAAATGTGCAAACTAATCATTGTTCATCCAGTTGTGGATTTAAGACACTGCACAGTCAGACACAGGGGACACCATCTTCTCTCAAATTAGCACTCACCCCTACCTTTTTTAAAATTTTAGTGCAAAAGGAAAAGCAAGGTGCAAAAATTGTGTTTACTGTAACAAATATTTCAGACATGAAATTTCAAAATTATGTCATACAGTCAAGTCTAAAGTGTCAGACATTAGACAATTAAGGCTATATAATGCAATGCACACATATGCAAGGAGGCAAAGGGAACCCTATATTTGCCTTCTGCATTTAAAATACTAATAATTTGGAAAAAAATCAAATTTTCAATATATATAAACATTATCAGAGTCCCAAACACGTCTCTGCAGGATTTAAATGGAAAACTAGTTGTTCCGCTCAAGCCTTTCCCCAAAGTTAGTTTCTCACTCTCCCTAGTTACAAAAGCCATTCTTTCCAATCCCAATGGATTATACTGTAAATCTCCAATAAGAGATGTCTGGATGGTTTCCACTTTAATTTGTGTTACTGTGCTGCTTTCAGCAATTGCTTTTAATGGAATGTTCTACCAAATGGATAGAATATAGTCTTTTAATTAATCTTCAGAACAGTTAAGTATAGCTGTATAGCACAAGTGTATTTACTGCAATAGGTTTTTTGGACAAATGCACAGAGTTGCCCACTCTTGTGATTTTATTGAAAATCTAATGAAAAAACTGATGCTTTAATAAAGGTCCACCTCCTGGAGACAAGTGATTACAGGAGAACCTCAGTTTTTATGTTAAAAAAAAGTTTCTAATCTTCATGTTTAGATAGAAAATGTAATCTGAGAATACCCTGAAAGCTCAAACTAGAAGGCAGATATTAAAAAACCCAAAAGGTTTCTTTTTTTCTCCCTTTAAATACATTGTGATTTTTAAGACAATCCCATGGGGTTTCTGCTCAGGATTTTTGGAGTGGTTAGTACTGAAAGTGGTAAGTGTTAGATAATTTGTACAGATCTAGAGTACAGATCTTTACTTTAGAATCAGTTTCTTTTAAGAATGGCTGTTTTATCCAGAGTTTCAGAGTAGCATCCAAAGTTCACATTTTAGCACTTAACTTCTAAGATACACTACTGGTACAGAAACTGCAGGCTTCCTCCTTATCTATACACAGAGGTCCTCCACAGGGAAAGGGGGAGGAAAAGTACAACTCCTTACATTTACTTACAAATCTAGATCAAGTTTAATATATGCCTTGAAACCACTGTCAAATCCCACATTCTGAATCTATACACTTTAAAAATGTAAAGGAATACTTTGCATAGTATTATTTTACTATAGTATCAATATTAAGATTTTTTGCAACTGAATCACCACCACAACCAATAAGAATCAGATTATATGATTGACAGATTAAAATTTTAAACAATAACTGTGATGCAGTACAAATTTTGTCTTCACATTTAAGAATTGCAGAAGCAGTTACTGCAATGAAGCATAATTCCAAGTGATTGGAATACACAATCCAAATGAAGGCCAAACATCTGATCTATTAAGTCCTCTGAATTCTAATGGCTTATCTACACCACATCAGTTAGCTCAAATTAGTACACTCAAGTGACTGCACCCATGCTAACCTAGCTTGAGTGAAAGCAACCGCACTAGGAAAAACTCAAACCATGCAGAGTAATTGGATTAGCAGTACAGAGCGATGAGATAAGCAACTGATTGAGCATCAACGGCACTAAAGCTTCAATCCATACTCCCCAATAGACCAGCCACCTTGAGCTTAGAGTACCACTTAACTCAAGCTAAACACTTTCAAAGAATAGCATTCATGGAAACGGCACTGGAGCAGGATAGTCGATAGTGTAAAGCAGTGTTGCAGATGTCTTACAATACTCTGGTCAACCACAAAACCAAGGAGTCTTGGTGACTTTTGGACCATAGAAACTAAATGAAGAATGGAAGGAAGAAAGAAAACGTATGCTGGCTCAGTCATTGCCCAGACAAACAAGTGCCAGAAACTGAGGCGGGGGTGAAAAGTGTGTAATTGGAATAAATACAAACTTAATATTCAAAACAGGAAATTATGTGCTTAACTTCAAGGAAAAATACATTTATTGGAACATACGAACAGTATATCAGGCTGGAGAACTTGATGCACAAGTTGAAAAGATATGAGTGGGAAAACATCAGCTATGCCAAAAGAGATGAGAATGCAAAGGAGAATTCTACCATGATAAACACAGGATATTGACATTGGGAAGAGAAGATGGTGGATACCAGGACAGAGCTGAATTGTGCTAAAGCCAAAGACAAGGCAGGGTCTTATGGCATTTAATCCAATATCTTCTCATATATTGAAGGAGAGATTTGGAATCAAACTTGGTACAGTTACAATAGTACAAATATGTGCTGACCTCAGTAGTGCCCAAGGAGAAATTGATTAATTTTATAATGATCTGCTGAAAACAATACAAGATGTTTCAAGACAAGCTCTGTTATTGGTGATGGGAGACATTCATGCCAAAGTAAAAGCAGACTGGAATTCCTGGGCTGGAGCAGTAACCAGATTTGGAACAGATGAAGAAAACAAAAGGAGAAAGACTTCTAAGGCTATGTCTACACCACATCTTATGTCAGAATAATTTAGGTCACTCAGGGGTGTGACTAAACCACCTCCTCGAGCAACATAAGTTAACTGACATAAGCACTGGTGTGGACAGTGCTATGCAGAGGGGAGAGCTTCTCCTGCTGGCATAGCTACTGCCTCTTTGTGGAGGTGGTTTATTATGCAACTGAGGGAGGGGTCTCCTTTTTGCATATAAAACCTTCACCAGATGCACTGGAGCAGTGCTGTAAGTGTAGATAAGCCCTATATCTCTACGTAAGCAACAACCTGGTGATAACAAACATGCTATTTCAACAAAGCAAGCTGCAGAGGATGTGGACATGGACATCACTGACACTGGCAAACCATGTGCCAGCTCTTGCCAAGGCTTTAGGCCTCAGCTGTGCACTGCCAAAATTAATTGCTGGAAACTAGTCTGTTTCACCTGTGCTTTAGTACATTTAAAATGGGTATTAAACTTGTAACAATATGTTTAGTGTTTATGAAACACTTGTAAATTGCTGCATGAATTAGTCTCACTTATAGTAGATTACTAGGTAGAAGGTAATTAAGTTTTTGCTTTATCAAACTTTTAAAAAGTTTGCTCTGAAACTGAATCTGTTAGGAGGGATCATCTCCTGCTCATCAAGGCAGCTATGAAAACTAAAGTGGCAATTGTGGGATACCACAATACAAAGACTTTGTTAATTGCCCCTTGACACCCATGAAGAGGCTAAAAGCAAAAGGGCTCCTCCCATCAACATGAATTCTGGAAGAAGAAGAAGAGCTGACAAGAAATTCTCCTCTTTTGCTGTTTGGACTATGACAGGGCGAGAGCTAAGAAACAGATCTCCATGGTCAACCTAAAAGGCCTTCCGAGTGGACAGATTACTACAACTCTGCCACCTTTTGGAACCATAGTCTGTAACTCATTTGTTTATAGACGTTTACTTGGAAGTGTTATGAGAAGGAGTAAACACATGAACTAGGGATCACCAAATAAAATTAAATAGGCAGCAGGTTTAAAACAAAAAGTATATCACAATGCACAGTTAACCTGTGGAACTCCTTGCCAAAGGATGTTGTCAAGGCCAAGATTAGACTAGGGTTCAAAAAGGAACTAGATAAATTCATGGAGGATGGTCCATGAATAGCTATTAGCCAGGATGAGTAGGGATGGTGTCCATTGCCTCTGTTTGCCAGAAGCTGGGAATGAGCAACAGGGGATGGATCACTTGATGATTGCCTGTTCTGTTCATTCCCTCTGGGGCACCTGGCATTGGCCACTGTCAGAAGACCAGATACGGGGCTAGATGAACCTTTGGTCTGATCCAGTATGCCCGTTCTTTTGTTCTTAACTAAAAAAGAAATGAGTTATTACAAGGTTAATAAACGCTTAGTTTATTACAAGATTGGCTACAAGTGTTGTCTTTGATGAGATATAAAGAACAAATTGACTGGACTGTGAGAAACCTGAATATT